CAATGAGTTGCCACACTCTTTAGATTTTCCCGACATTGTCTAGTGTGCTTTAAAACGGTAATTAACCCAAAACACTAAAATGTAATATATACTCACCGGCCACCAGGGGCGGACTGACCATTTGGAAACTTGGGCACTGCCCGAGGGCCCAGGGTCAGTAGGGGGCCCCATGAGATGACCCTGGTACCTTTTTCATAGTTTGGGCAAGGACACAGGGGTCCCATGATCCCCTATTGCCCGGGGGCCCCATGAGTTGTCAGTCCGCCCCTGCCGGCCACATTATTAGATACACTTGTTCAATTACTTGGTAACACAGATTGCTTAACCACTTCCAGTCCGGACACTTTCCCCCCCTTCCTGTCCAGGCCAATTTTCAGCTTTCAGTGCTATCACACTTTGAATGACAATTGCGCGGTCATGCAACACTGTACCCATATGAATTGTTTAGCATTTTTTTCGACAGATAAAGCTTTATTTTAGTGGTATTTATTCACCACTGGGATTCTTTTTTTTTTTTGTTATATAAATGAAAAAGCACAAAAATGTTCAAAAAAATGTTTTTCTTACAAAAATTTGCAAATAAATAATATTTGATCATAAATCTTGGCCAAAATTTATTCAGTTATCTTTTTGGTAAAAAAAATAACCCAAATTAGTTTATAACCAAAAATGATAATTTTTAAAACATTTTTTTTTTTTTTTTTTACATACTGTCACCCTAGCAGTACAGTGTCACCATGGTGACACTGTACTACTTGTGGGGGGTGATGAAGATTTTTTTTTTCTTTTTACATTGATTGCTTTTACACCCATAAAGGCTGTAAAAGCAATCATCTCTCCTTCTCTCTGGCTGCATTCTTGCAGCAATAGAGAAATACTGTGTGAGCTGTAATTGGTCACAGCTTGTCACATGGTACAAGGCTGTTGTGAATAGCCCTGTACCATGTGACCTCTGTGATCATTCACAGATTTCACACGTAGTAAGCAATGATGTCAGAAGTGACATCTTGTTTTACTACTCTTCATGTGATCACTGGTTGGCCAATCAGTGATTACATGATTGGGACCTCGCACAGAGGTCCCGTATGATGATCAGTGTTCCACTGGTAGGCACTCTATTGAGGTGTTGCGCGGTCCCAGGGAGCACGCACAGTCCAAAATGGTGGGCGCCATTTATGAACGGCAACCCGCCCCAGGCGTGCCACTGTACGGCCGTTTATATACAGCGGCCGGATGGCAAGTGGTTAATAGTCAATCAGTCACTCACATGACAGAAACTCAATGCACTTAGGCATGTAGACGTGGTGAAGACGACTTGTTGAAGTTCAAAGCGAAGGGGGGGAAGAAAGGGGATTTTAATGACACTAGCAAGGCGCACCTAATAAAGAGGCCGGTGAGTGTGGTGTAGCTTGGAGGTTGCACAGTGATAGAGGTAGTATCCAGTCCCAGAACAGGTCATCTTGAGCAAGGGTCTCCAAACTTTCTAGACAAAGGACTATTTACGGTCCTTCACTCTTTAGGGGGGCCGGACTGTGGCCATTGGAGGTAGAAAAGGTCCCAGTGTCAGTGGGAAAAAACAATGCCCCATTTTTGGTGTCAGTGGGAGGAATTGTGCCCCATCAGTGGTGTCAGTGGGAGGAATTGTGTCCCATCATTGGCATCATTGGGCCCCGTTGTAGGTGTTTTTGGGAAAATCTGTGCCCCATTGTTGGTATCATTGGAAGGAATTGGGTCCCATCATTGGTGTCATATGCAGGAGTAGTGCCCCATCATTGCTGTCAGTGAGGAATTATGCCCCATCATTGATGTCAGTAGGCCCCATTGTTGGTGTCGTTGGGAGAAATTGTGCCCCATCGTTGCCATCATATAGAGGAACAGTACCCATTGATGTCGAGAGGGGGGAGTATGCCCATTCATTAGTGTCAGTGGGCCCCATTGTTGTCATTGGGAGAAATTAAGCCCATTGTTGGTGACATTGGGAGGAATTGTGCCCCATCATTGGTGTCAGTGTTGGGAATTATGCCCTATATACCGAGCGATAGAAGTAGTACCGCACGAGCGATAGAAGTAGTACCGCACTCCTCTCCATACTCCTATATACCGAGCGACAGAAGTAGTACCGCACTCCTCTCCGTACTCCTATATACCGAGCGATAGAAGTAGTACCGCACTCCTCTCCGTACTCCTATATACCGAGCGATAGAAATAGTACCACACTCCTCTCCACCGAGTGATAGAAGTAATACCGCACTCCTCTCCGTACTCCTATATACCGAGTGATAGAAGTAGTACCGCACTCCTCTCCGTACTCCTATATACCGAGCGATAGAAGTAGTACCGCACTCCTCTCCGTACTCCTATATACCGAGCGATGGAAGTAGTACCGCACTCCTCTCGGTACTCCTATATACCGAGTGATAGAAGTAGTACCGCACTCCTCTCCATACTCCTATATACCGAGTGATAGAAGTAGTACCGCACTCCTCTCCGTACTCCTATATACCGAGCGATAGAAGTAGTACCGCACTCCTCTCCGTACTCCTATATACCGAGCAATAGAAGTAGTACCGCACTCCTCTCCGTACTCCTATATACCGAGTGATAGAAGTAGTACCGCACTCCTCTCCGTACTCCTATATACTCAGCAACAGCAATGGTACTGTGCACCTCTGTGTGTGTATATATATATATATACTGTATATATATATATATATATATATATATATACACATACAGTAGCATTAGTGGGAGTACTGCGCTCCTCCGTGTGCCTCTCTCTCTCAATATATATATATATATATATATGCAGTAGCATTAGCAATCCTTCTCGTGCTTCTATATATCAAGTGCCATATTATATAACATGCACTGGAAGTAGTACTGCCTGGCATGCAGAGAGGAGATTTGGGCTCTGGGAATGTTGGGATCATCAGATCCCTGGAGACAGCTCTAAGTTTGCTGTCAGGGATGAAGGGATGATGAATTCTCTTCCCCACAATCTTGTTTCTTTAATTCTGAACGCTCTGAGGTCATGTGCGGCCAGGCGGCTCCATCGCCCCCCTCCCTCCCTCCTGAGACACCCAGCCCAGCACTAAGACTTTCATCCACTGACACACTGAGATAACATGACATCACACTTTTCCCTCCAGAGCTTCCCATAGAAATACACAACTCATCTGTGTGTCAATGTTTTCACCCAAGATTCACACATTTGTAAAAATGATAGATTTTTTGATCAATGGATCCCTGTGTATAAAGGAACTGGTCTTTTTCTTCTGGGATGAAGATTTGAGAGTGTAGAGGCGTATTTTCCCGCACACAACCAACTTCAGTACAGCTAATTGAAGAATAGAGCAGGCAGTGTCTGGTGAGACTCCAAAAGCCCAAATGGTCGAAAAGCAAAATTTGCATATTAGGGGCGAACTACAAGTCCCAGAATACCATCAAATACAATGTGAGTCTGCCTATGATAAAAAGGAAATGGCAAAGAGTACACAAATGAGGATGTTAGGGTAAAATCCCAATGAGCTGGGCATTAAATGTAGATGACGACTGAGCGGGAGCAAGTGCAGAGGTTCTTCATCAGGACAGAAAACTGAGCAAGAATACGGCGAATATAGGAAAATAATGATCAGCTTTGGCCAATGAAAACAGGCCATATTATAGGGAATGCTGCTGAGGCCTTGATTGGATACAAGAGGATACAGATGTTGGTCAAGCAGCAGCAAGAGCGACTTAACTGGTGGAGCATGTGGGCAAATGCATGTTATACTTGCAGCAAGTGTTGCAATATGCATTTAAAGTGGAATTAAACCTGAAATTTTGAGAATTGCAAGCAGACAGCTCCTTATTGGAGCAGAGACATGTTCTACAACACACAAACCTGCCTTCACACAGTCTCCTAGTGAATGCGCACTGACCTGCGCATGCGCACTGGCTCTACTGGAATGACTGACTCCTGTGCATGGGATGACATCATCCCCCACTGGCCAATCAGAAGGCCAAAAACTCAACACCTGGAAGTAGCCCAGGGAGAAGATGGCAGCAGCCAGCAAGTGATGCAACGGACGCATCACTGGAAAGTGGTAGTTTTGCTTTAAAAATAAACTACAAGCATTAAAATTTCATTTATATGTAATCTTCAATAGTCACAAGGGAAATAAATTCACTTTCTGTGCACCAAATGCCTTTTCGAACCCAGATATTACCTTGTAGAAGTAGCCAGAGCTGCTGTTGGAAACCACGGGGCCCCTTACAGCCACCCTGACAGGGCCCCCCAAACCACAGGGCCCCATACAGCCAACCTAACAGGGCTCCCCCCATCCCCCCAAAAAAAACAGTTTACTATGCTTCACTTATGAACATAGTGAGTGCACCAAATGCCTTTCCAAACCCAGATTCTACCTTGTAGAAGTAGCCAGAGCTGCTTTTAGAAACCATGGGGCCCATTACAGCCACCCTGACAGGGCCCCCCAAACCACAGGGCCCCATACAGCCAACCTAACAGGGCTCCCCCTAATCCCCACCAAAAAAACAGTTTACTATGCTTCACTTATGAATGAACACAGTGAGTGCACCAAATGCCTTTCCAAACCCAGATATTACCTTGTAGAAGTAGCCAGGGCTGCTGTTAGAAACCGCGGGGCTCCTTACAGCCAACCTGACAGGGCCCCCCAAACCACAGGGCCCCATACAGCCAACCTAACAGGGCTCCCCACATCCCCACAAAAAACAGTTTACTAGGCTTCACTTATGAATGAACACAATGAGTGATTGGTACTGATCACTCATTGTGTTCATACAGGAAAGGAAGGGGCTGATAAATTACAGGAACCGATCCCCTGTATGTCTCTCTCTGCAGCAGCTGAAAGCCAGAGAAGGTGGGGGGGGAAGCAGCAGCTTTAAGCTGCTGCAGAGAGAGACATACAGAGAATTGGTTCCTGTAATTGCCCCCCCGGTGTGCTGCTCACCCTCCCTGCCCACATCCGATGTGTACAGAGGTCAGCAGGGAAATGTACAGGGGTCAGCAGGGCAGTGTACAGGGGTCAGCAGGGCAGTGTACATTGGTTGGCAGAGCAGAGCACAGGGGTCAGCAGAGCTAAGGACAGGGTACAACAGGGCAGAGGATAGGGGACAGAAGAGCTAAGGACAGGGGACACAACTGGCAGGGCAGAGGACAGGAGTCACTGCTGACAGGGCAGAGGACAGGAGTCACTTTTGGCAGGGCAGAGAACAGGGGTCACTTTGGGCAGGGCACTCAGCAGAGCTCCATCTCCCATCCCTTCACTGCACACAGCCTAGGCACAGACAGCAGAGCTCTTCCTCCCCACACAGATAGCTTTTGCTTGTGGGGCACAACTAAAATCTGGGGGGCATAGTCCTTCCCACCACCCCCCTAGATCTGGACATGCTCTCAGGTAGCAATACGAGTGCAGCCGTCCATGGGCCACTGAGGTGAGAGGGGCCCCCAGCATAGTGGCTGTGCCCCCTTATCTTCCAGAATACAGCAGCTCTTTCTCGTCTCCCATTCAGTCTGATATACTGAGAATATTATGGATATTAGGATTGTGTTTGGACGCCCAGATATTGTTTTATCCATCTGGATTTAAGAAATGCGGAAACACTCATCGGGTTTGTTAAAAGGTCGGCGAGCTGAACGGCGATCACATTTCGCAGAGGGCTGGGTGGATTGTAGTTACACCTCTGGCTGTAACGTCAGACGGAAAAAAAAAATAACAATGTCCGCCCAAACCTCAGAAAATACAGAATCAGCTCACAGAGACATGGGGGAGTTAGATCAATAAACACTCTTTTTCTGGTTAAAATATTAATAATAAATTCTGATACATTGTATCACCAGCTGCAGATGAAAAAGGCAAATCGAACGTCTGAATCCATTTTTTCATGGCATGAGATCAGTAAATGAAAAGAGACAAGCTACGTGCGTTCTGTTTCAAATGCCGCTTTATGTATTGACATACCTCCATAGACCCAGTATGTCTGGCCAGTATGGTCACACCTGCTGACTTGGCACCATCCACAGGCAGTTTAACTTGTCAATAAGCCACAGTTGAATCCAATGCAAATTTACTTTTGCAGTACAGAGAAAGTTTTTCAAGTCTTTTGAAGTCTAAGAAGGTAATTACTTTCCTGACACCTGTCTCTGTGAATAACTAACACTGACTTAGGCTCCGTTCACAACTATGCAGTTTTTCTTTCTGTCCGTTTTGCAGTGCTTTTCGCAGTTCGTTTTGCGGTTCTCTATACGCATTTTTGCCGCATTTTGTGCAGCTTTGTTTTTTTTTTTTTTAAAATGGAATTTTTTTTGCTGGGTAGAATAAAAATGCAAAACGCAAAATGCGGCAAAAATGCACTACCATGCATTTCAGCAGATTCTCCATTGAACTATATTGTAGCAAAAACGCTTCTTTTTGCTTTTAAAAAAGTCCCCGACCCTTTCCGAAAATGCAGCAGCTCAAAAAGGCGTTAAAGTGTCCCATAGGAAACCATGTTAAATGGACTGTAGTGCGTTTCTGCAAAAAGCACTAAAAAACACATTGGTGTGAACCAGGGGCGGACTGACCATTTTGAAACTCGGGCACTGCCCGAGGGCCCGGGGTCAGTAGGGGGCCCCATGAGATGCCCCTGGTACCTTTTTCATAGGCTTTTTTGAGTTTGGACAAGGACACAGGGGCCCCATGATCCCCTATTGATCCCCATGAGTTGTCAGTCCGCCCCTGGTGTGAACAGAGCCTGAGGGAACATGGAAGAAGTGGGGAGGATCTAGTTATCTGTCATGCTGATCCTGCAGCTTCTCATACATTCTCTCAGAACAAGGATGCAGATCAGGAGTATGGACTTCATTGGCTGCATGCTTGTTGTAGGACAGGGACTCAGCATTTTCAGGGGGGAGGTCTGCAGTGGAGGTCCCTGTACTTCTTTCATGGCAGTTTTTTCTCTTCTTTCCACCAGGCAGGACATGTGAATCTATGAGTCCTTCCTGGTGAGTGTGGTTTTGATGACCTTCTATCAACAGACTCCTGAATCTGGGAAGCCGGGTGGAGTCAGGGTGGAGTGCTGTGTTTTCCTTCCCCTCGTAGATATTGCTATGGTTATGTACACGTTTCTGTTTGCAGAAGGTATGTACTAAGTGCTCTCATACACACACCTTGGACACCCCCGGCATGGCGGCGCCTCTCCTCAGGTCTGTTTCCAGCATGCAGCATCATTTCCCAGAATCCATGTATCAGTGCAAACCAATCGCCTTACATGCCCTTCCCGTACAGATCGTTTTTATCGAATCTGTTACAACGTTTCTTACTTGGAGCTCCTGCCATAAAACAGCACACAGTGACATCACTAATGGGTCTATGTATAAACATTCGCTGTGCAGGTATCTGAACCATTTACCTGGGCCATGCAAATGTTTGTCATATTGTTTGTAATGTGGTAATCTCTTATCATCATCAGCTCCATCTAGTGGCCATAATGCAGATTTTTTTTTTGATTGAGGTATTTCAGGAAAATACCCCATTATGGCCACTAGATGGAGCTGATAATCATAGGAGGTAATCATATTACAAACAATACAGCAAACATTTGTGGTGTCTTTGTGAATGGTTAAGACACCTGCACAGCAAATGTATTATACATAGACCCAGGGCTGCCCCATACAGCCAACCTGACAGGCCTCCCTCCCCCCCCCCAAAAAAAACACAGTTTACTATGCTTCAGTTATGAATGAACACAGTGAGTGATCAGTATCGAGCACTCATTGTGTTCATTCAGGAAGGAAAGGGGCTGGTAAAATGTGACATATTTACAGAACCCTTCCTCTACTCTACATCTTAAAGGATCCTATTGTGTGTTTGCAGCTGCTGGTAGGAAGGAGGGGAGGGAAGCCAGCAGCACTGTGGGGGGTGGGAGCACACAGGGGGGAAGCATGGGGAAGGGTATGGTGCATAGGGAGGGTGATCAGGTGCTACGGGGGGGGGGGGGGCAATTACTGGAACCAATCCCCTGCATGGTTCTCTCTGCAGCAGCTGAAAGCCAGGGGGTGGGAGAGGAGAAGAAGCTGGCTTTCAGCTGCTGCAGAGAGAGCCATACAGGGGATCGGTTCCAGTATTTGCACCCCCTCTGTGCCGATCACCCTCCCTGCCCACATCTGATTTGCCCAGCTGCCTGGGCCCTCCTGCTGGCCTGGGCCCCATACAGGAGGATTGGTGGTACCCCCTTATACACAGCCCTGCATAGACCCCTTAGTGTCATCAGCCTACAAGAGGAAGTGCTGCTACTGACAGGATCCCCAGTTAAGAAACTTTGTAACAGATTCACAGAAAACAATTTGCAGAAGAAAACTGTATGCAGTGAGGTATGACGCAAAGCACGCTGAAAAAACTAGAGTTTTGGTTACATGCACTTTAAAGCAGAGCTCCAGCCAATAACAAAATACATATAAATAGTTCATTAAAAGAACAGAAATCCAGCTTTTGCTGCAATATTCACATTCAATCTGGAGATTTCCCCTGAAGTACTTTTTCTACCACTAAATGTCCTCAGTCTGATGGCCAGATCCACCTTCTCTGAGCCTGAGTCATCCCGGACAAGCCCCCAACCAGTGATTAGACAATGAAAGGAGAAGCAGCACAGTGATGAGCTCATCTCATCACTCTGCTCTCTCCTCCAGTCAGTATGCTACGTGACAGCTTATGAATTGATTGGCTCCTTGTACTGCTTCTTCCTCTCAAACTCAGTCCTTGCTGTAGAGGGACTGCAAGAGACTGATACTAGGTTAAAAAAAAACATTTAATGATGTGTTAATGATTACAGAGCTGCATTCAGATGTGTCTTCAGCTTTAACATAACAATTACAATATCTTTAGAAGAGTTACAGTGTATTCAAATGCATCAGAACCGCACAGGACAACAGCACCAAGAACACAGCTGGGGGCACCATCATGCAACTTTAACTAAAGACCCTCCTATTCTCACAGTCTCTGACACTAGTCTTTATATCATCAGCTAAACAACATCATTCATCGGATATGAACTCTGCACCCCCGAAACATAACACAGCACATAGATGGATGTATCTGTCAGGGACAGTGCAATGTTCTGCAGAACTCTAAAGAGGACAGTGACTGAATAATCTGCAGGATATTTCAATATAAATCTGTCAGAGGGAGATGGGCTTGAGGAAGGTTCTGCAGATCTCTAGAGTGGACAGTGATGATATAATATTTATTTATTTATTACAAGTACTTCTATAGCGCCGTCATTTTAAATAATATCCAGAAAATACCAATATGTCAGGGGGAGATAGGATGGAGCAATGTTCTGCAGATCTCTACAAAGGTCAGTGATGGAATAATCTGCAGAACATATCAATATGTATTCATCAGGGGAAAATGGGAATGAAGAAATGTTCTGGAGATCTATAGAAAGGTAAGAGATGGAATTAACAGCAGAATATACCTATATGTATCTGTCAGGGGGTAGATGGGATAGAGCAATGTTCTGCAGATCTATAGAAAGTTGGTAATAGAATATACCGCAGGATATATCAATATGGATCTGTCAGGAGGAAGATGGAACAGAGCGATGTTCTGCAAGTCTCTGGTGTTGTCAGTGATGGAATAATCTGCAGATTATATCAATATACATCTATCAGGGGCAGATGAGAAGGGAGCAATGTTCTGCAGATCTTTAGAGAGGTCAGAGATGGAATAATTTGCAGAATGTCAATATTTATCTGTGGGGGGGAGGTGGGGGGATAGAGCAATGTTCTGCAGATCTCTAGAAAGCTGGTAATGGAACAATCAGCTGAATATATCATTATGCACCTATCAGGGGGTGTATTGAATGGAGCAATGTTCTGCAGATCTCTATAGGGGTCAGAGATGGACTAATCTGCAGAATATATCAATATGTATCTGTGAGGGAACAGAGCAATGTTCTGCAAGTCTCTGGTGTGGTCAGCGATGTAATAATCTGCAGATTATATCAATATGTGTCTATCGGGGGGCAGATGAGAAGGAACAATGTTCTGCAAGTCTCTGGAGTTGACAGCGATGCAATAATCTGCAGATTATATCAATATGTGTCTATCGGGGGGCAGATGAGAAGGAACAATGTTCTGCAGATCTTTAGAGAGGTCAGAGATGGTATAATTTGCAGAATGTGTCAATATGTATTTGTCGGGGGGGGGGGAGGTGGGGGGATGGAGCAATGTTCTGCAGATTTGTAGAAAGCTGGTTATGGAACCATCAGCAGAATATATCATTATGCACCTATCAGGGGGTGTATTGAACGGAGCAATGTTCTGCAGATCTCTATAGGGGTCAGAGATGGACTAATCTGCAGAATATATCAATATGTATCTGTGAGGGAACAGGTGGAACAGAGCAATGTTCTGCAAGTCTCTGGTGTGGTCAGCGATGGAATAACCTGCAGAATATATCAATATGTATCTGTGAGGGAACAGGTGGAACAGAGCAATGTTCTGCAACTCTCTGGTGTGGTCAGCGATGGAATAATCTGCAGAATATATCAATATGTATCTGTGAGGGAACAGAGCAATGTTCTGCAGATCTCTAGAGTGGCCAGTAATGGAATAATCTGCAGATTATATATGTATGTCTCTGTTTTGGGGGAAATAGGACAGAGCAATGTTCTGCAGATCTCTAGAGTGGCCAGTAATGGAATAATCTGCAGATTATATATGTATGTCTCTGTCTTGGGGGAAATAGGACAGAGCAATGTTCTGCAGATCTCTAGACAGTCAGTGATGGAATAATCTATAAATTATTAGCAGAGATGGCTGAATGTAACAATTTTCTCAGCAGATCCTTTCCCTTACATAAGACTTCCCATCTGCCCCCTCCTGGAGATGATAGGTGAGCAGTGGGTAGTCTTGATGCCCCCTACACTACCCCCCCCCCCCCCCCCCCCGGGGCAGATTTCAGTTCCCTCTCACCTTAGTACAATGCTGCTGGATGGAGCTGTGGAGGGAGGTGATTCGCAGGTTCACATCTGTCAGTGAATCCAGGAGGGTGGAGGGTGAGATGGGGGAATTTGATGTGTGTGGGCGGATGACAGATAGAAGAATATTCTCTATTCCAATCTTCCCGATCCCCCTCACATACGGCTCTTGTTACTGCATGCTGCGAAATAAAGTGGAAACAATTCACCTCTAACAATATCAGCTTATCGCCATCAGCTGTGGAACCACAAGTTCCAGCAAAACCAACAGCAAAGACACATGTACCCTGCCCCCTGGGCTGTTCCTCTAAAGAGGTAGCTTGAGCCTTGGGGTTAATGGGCTTAGCCATGCATGAAGACTAAATAGTCAGCACGGTGGTCTTGCAGCACCGGGGTGGTGGGTTTATGTCCCACCAGGGTTACTACCTGTATGGGATTCCTTCCTATAACCTCCCTGTGTGTGTGTGACAGTGCTGGACCAGTCTGTGGTGTGATATACCTGGAGGTGACACAGGATATGTAGTCCATCACGAGGGTACGTGGATGGTGAAAGCAAAAAGTGGAGAGGGCTTGTTAGGGTCTTGGCTGCTACCTCTCAGGCCGGGCCGGAACTAGCCTGCCTGATGTGGGAGTGCAATAAAAAATGTCAGGGGAGCAGTATGCAGGGGTTAAGAGGGCAATGTACAGGGGTCAGCAGAGCAGTGTACAGGGGTCAGCAGAGCAGTGTACAGGGGTCAGCAGGGAAGTGTACAGGGGTCAGCAGGGCAGTGTACAGGGGTCAGCAGGGAAGTGTGCAGGGGTCAGCAGGGAAGTGTACAGAGGTCAGCAGGGCAGTGTACAGAGGTCGGCAGGGCAGTGTAGAGAGGTTGGCAGGGCAGTGTACAGGGGTCAGCAGAGCAGTGTACAGGGGTCGGCAGGGCAGTGTAGAGAGGTTGGCAGGGCAGTGTACAGGGGTCAGCAGGGCAGTGTACAGGGGTCAGCACGGAAGTGTACAGAGGTCAGCAGGGCAGTGTAGAGAGGTTGGCAGGGCAGTGTACAGGGGTCAGCAGGGCAGTGTACAGAGATCAGCAGGGCAGTGTACAGAGAACAGCAGGGCAGTGTACAGGGGTCAGCAGGGCAGTGTAGAGAGGTTGGCAGGGGAGTGTACAGGGATTAGCAGGGCAGTGTACAGAGGTCAGCAGGGCAGTGTACACGGATTAGCAGGGCAGTGTACAGAGGTCAGCAGGGCAGTGTACAGAGGTCAGCAGGGTAGTGTACAGGGGTTGGCAGGGCAGAGGATAGGGGACAGAAGAGCTGAGGACAGGCGATAACAGGGCAGAGGATAGGGGACAGAAGAGCTGATGGCAGTGGACAGCACGTTGGAAGACAGGGGACACAACTGGCAGGGCAGAGCACAGGAGTCACTGCTGGTAGGGCAGAGGACAGGGGTCACTTTTGGCAGGGAAGAGGACAGGGGTCACTTTGAGTAGGGCACTCAGAAGAGCTCCATCTCCCATTCCTGTACTGCACACAGCCAGGGCACAGACAACAGAGCTCTTCCTCCCCACACAGATAGCTTTGGCTTTGGGGGGCACAACTAAAATCTGGGGGGGGGGGAATAGCCCTTTCTACCACCCCCCTAAATCTGGCCATGCTCTCAGGTAGCAACAGAAAGATGCTCTGTAATGTAGAACTGAATGGATACCGAGGTGCGCTCAGTATCAGAGGTCGTCACACTTGGGTTTGTTTATTAAAAGCTGTTTATTGTAGTTAATGATTCACAGGTAATGAATAGAGCCGACAAGTTTCGGGGGAAGTGCCCTCTCCTTCATCAAGGCTGGTATCAGAGCTAGTACTAGTGCAGTGATGGCGAACCTTTTTGAGCCCGAGTGCCCAAAACTGCAACACAAACCAACTTTTTTATTTCAAAGTGCCAACACTGCAATTAACCACTTGCCTACCTGGACACATTGACAGACGGCACTGATCGGTGGCACTGATGGGCAGCACTGATGGGCGACACTGCTGGGCACTGACAGGTGGCACTGCTGGGCAGCACTGACAGGTGGCACTGCTGGGCAGCGCTGACAGGTGACACTGCTGGGCACTGATGGGTGACACTGCTGGGCACTGATGGATGACACTGCTGGGCATCATTGTTGGGTGGCACTGATGGGCAGCACTGATGGGCGACACTGCTGGGCACTGACAGGTGGCACTGCTGGGCAGCACTGACAGGCGACACTGCTGGGCACTGATGGGTGACACTGCTGGGCACTGATGGATGGCACTGCTGGGCATCATTGATGGGTGGCACTGTTGGGCAGCACTGATGGGCGATACTGCAGGGCACTGACATGTGGCACTGCTGGGCAGCACTGACAGGTGGCACTGCTGGGCAGCACTGACAGGCGACACTGCTGGGCACTGATGGATGGGACTGCTGGGCATCATTGATGGATGGCACTGATGGGCAGCACTGATGGGCGACACTGCTGGGCCCTGACAGGCGACACTGCTGGGCACTGATGGATGACACTGCAAGCAATCTCACCTCTGGCAGCGTCGGTGTGGCTTCCAACCCAGCAGCTCATTCCCATCCACGCTGAACACGTTACCCCTGGCCCCGGAGCAGTGTGGGAGCAGTGTGGGAGCCTCTTCCTCTCTTCCGCGCCCATCCCCGGGTACATCACCCCTGGTGCCAGAGCCGCATTGGAGCCGTTTTCTCTCGTCCACGCCCACCCTGGCCCCAGAGACATGTGGGAAATGTAGTTTGATGGGGATCCAGTGTGGACGAGATCTGGATGGCCGGTCCATGCGCGCTCATCATCCTCTTCTTCCTGGCGTGCCCACTGAGATGGCTCTGCGTGCCAGCTCTGGCACGCGTGCCATAGGTTCGCCATCACTGTACTAGTGATTAAAGGGGAGACACTTCCCCCAAAACTCGTCGGCTCTATTCATTACCTGTGAATCATTAACTACAATAAACAATGTTTAATAAACAAACCCAAGTGTTACGACCTCCAATACTGAGCGCACCTCGGTATCCATCCAGCTATAAGCTCCCTGTGTTTAGGTGGTCTTCCTTAAAACCCAATAACATACCTGCCAACCTATTTGGCTCCTATACCTGCAGGTACATTAGATAGTAAGCTCCATTGGGGAAATATATAAATGGTTCAATAGAGATAATAAATACCCATCCACACAATTTACTTTATATTAGGATATTTTTTTTTTTTTTAAATATAATTGCAACCTGACATAGACAGCCCACTTCCTCAGAGGCCAGGCTGTCATGGACCCTCCCAATTCTATGATTGGACAGTGACTCTCTGTCACTCTGCTATCTCCTCCTATCAGCATGCTCCTAGTCAGGACATGAACTGATTGGCTACTTGTGCTGCTACTTCCGCTCCCAGTCAGAGCTCTACTGTACAGGGACTGGGAGAGGCTGATAACGGGTCATAATCAGGTACTGGCATTTAAAAAAAAAAATGTAACAATGTATTCATTATTGCAGACATTTGTGTCTTTTACATCTGCCTGGAGTCCAGCTTCATGGAGTGTCCTGTGCCGAATCCATCCACTGGCTGCACTGAGATTCTGGGGTCACCATACATATTACATTCTGACCATACAATCAGCTTTAGATTTAACAAAACTATTTAATATGTGGACCAACCTGATCTATCCAGTCAATCTATATCCAATCAGGAAGGGCCATGGCAATTCCAAAGGAGATTGTCCAATCAGATTATAATGTGTAGACATGTGCGGTTCGTTTCGTTCGGAATTCAAATTCTGACTAATTTTTTATTATTCAGACATTCTGATGTCTCCGAATTTCTGAATTACAATAGTAATGAATCCGAAATAATGAAACAAAGTCTGGATGAAATTCTAATTTGAATTAAATCAGACTCGAATTTGAATGAAATTCAAATATGAACAGAATAGACAATAAAAGAACAGAATGGAACATAAAAGAAAAGAACAGAATAGACAATAAAAGAATAGCATAGAATAGAAAAGAAATGAACAGAATAGACAAAAGAATAGAAAGGAATAGAATAGAATAGGAAAACAATAGTAAAGAATAGAACACAATGTAAAATAACAGAATATATCAGAATATAATAGAAAAGAATAGAATAGAACTGAAAAAACAATGGAATAAAGTAAAATAGAAAGCATATAACTGTCTTCAATAATTCAAATTTCGAATAGAATAGATAAGAATAGAAAAGAATAGAATGAAATAGAATATAACTGACTTTCAAAATGAGAATTTTGAATAGAATAAATTTGATTTTGAATAGAGTAGATTCAAACAAAATAGAAAAGAATAGAATGAAGTAGAAACAATATAACCGTCTTCTGAAATTAAACTCTTGAATAGAATAGATTAGAATAGAAAAGAATAGAACAAAATAGAAAGAATATAACTGTCTTCCAAAATTAGAACAGAATAGAAAAGAATAAAATAAAATAGAATATAACTGTCTTCTAAAATTCAAAATTCAAACAAAATGAATTTGAATAGAATAGTTTAGAATAGAAAGAAAAAGAATAGAATACAATAGAAAGAATATAACTGTCATCTGAAATGGAAATTTTGAACAGAATAAATTTGAATACAAGAGATTACAATAGAAAAAAATAGAAATAGAACAGAATAAAATAGAAATAATATAACTTTCTTCCAAAATTAGAATTTTGAATAGAATAAATTTGATTTAGAATAGAGTAGATTAGAACAAAATAGAAAAGAATTGAATAAAATAGAAAGAATATAACTGTCTACTGAAATTCAAATTTGGAACAGAATAAGTTTGAACAGAATAGCTTAGAATAGAAAAGAGTAGAATAGAATAAAATAGAATATAACTGTCTTCCAAAATTAGAATTTCGAATAGAATAAATTTGATTTCAAATAGAGTAAATTATAACAGAATAGAAAAGAATAGAATAAAATAGAATATAACTGTGTTCTGAAATTCAAATTTTGAACAGAATAAATTTGAATAGAATAGCTTAGAATAGAAAGGAAAAGAATAGAAAAGAATAGAATAAAATAGAAAGAATATAACTGTCTTCTGAAAGTCAAATTTTGAACAGAATAAATTCGCATAGAATAGCTCAGATTAGAGAAAAAAAAAGAACAGAATAGAACAGAATAAAATGGAAATAATATAACTTTCTTCCAAAACTAGAATTTCATATAGAAAATTAATTTTCATTTCAATTAGAGTAGATTAGAACAGAATAGAAAAGAATAGAATAAAAGAGAATATAACTCCTCTTCTAAAATTCAAATTTCAAACAGAATAAATTCGAATAAAAATAGCTTAGATTAGAAAAGAAAAGTTTAAAATAGAACAGAATAAAATGGAAATAATATAAAAAAAAAAAAATTAGAATTTCAAACAGAATAAATTTGAATAGAATAGCTTAGAACAGAATAGAAAAGAATAGACTAGAACAGAATAAAAATATAAATAATAAACCTTCTTCCAAAATTAGAATTTCAAACAGAATAAATTTGTATAGAATAGCTTAGAATAGAAAGGAAAAGATAGAAAAGAAAAGAATAGAAAAAATAGAAAGAATATAACTGTCTTCTGAAAGTCAAATTTCGAACAGAATAAATTCGAATAGAATAGCTTAGATTAGAAAAGTATAGAATAGAACAGAATAAAATGGAAATAATATAACTTTATTTCGAAATTAGAATTTCAAACAGAATAAATTTGAATAGAATAGCTTAGAACAGAATAGAAAAAAAAAGAAAAGAAATAGACTAGAACAGAATAAAATAGAAATAATATAACCTTCTTCCGAAATTAGAATTTCAAATTTGATTTTGAATAGAGTAGATTAGAACAGACTAGAAAAGAATAGATTAAAATAGAGAAAAACAATAGAATAGAATTCAATAGAACAGAAAGAATATAACCGTCTTCCAAAATTCGAATTTCGAAAAGAATTAATTCAAATT